ATGTTCCAAGAAAATATTAATTGTAGATCTATCTATTACATTTAGTTTGTAGTTGCTCATAAAGTAGAACAATGTTATAATTAATATTCAAGAAGAATATTACTTACTCCTAATGAGCATGAATATATTTGCTTCTGAATAATATGAATTATAATTTTCAATATTTTAAAAGAATATTGACATATTACTTCTGAAAAAATAATAATAAAATACAACACGCTCCTAAAGTAGCACATATTTTGAAAAATGTATTATTTTGAATTAGCGTTTATTCCTAAAGAAAAATATATAATTCATATAATGTTGACATGGACACTTGATTAATTATTTAATGATTATACAATTTTAATCATATTTTTCAAAATTAATTGTATTTTCTTTATTGTTTAGTTAATCAAATGGCAAACATTATAAAATTTGAGTTTGTTACACTTGATATATTTGGAAAAAACTACATGTCATGGGTTCTCAATATTGATATTCATTTTATTTTAAAGAGTTTGGGAGAGACAATAAAAGAATGAGACGAAGAATACCCACAGGATCGTGGAAAAGCACTTATCTTCATTCATTTTCATCTTCATAATAGATTGAAAATCGAATACTTTACTGTGGAAAATCCACAGGTTCCTTGTGGAAAAAATGATTGAAAGATTAGATCACCGGAAGATTATAATCCTCCCCAAAGTCCGCTGTGAGTGGATGCACATTTAATTGCAAGACTTAAAAATTGTGAACATGATTCTGAACTGTACAGAATATGTTTAAAATTGACCTTGTGTGAAGAAAAAACATTGATGAAGATATGTTGAAGCAAAATTTTTCTACCTTTCATCCTTTGAATTTGCTCCTGCAGAAGCAATATCGCAAGCGTGGTTTCAAAAAGTACTTAGAACTTATATCTTGATTACTAGTAGTTGAACAAAATAATGAACTTCCGATGAAAAATTATAGATTACGTCTAACTGGTTATAACCTGAAGTAAATGGTATTGCATTGCCTGAACAAATGCACTATCAAGATAAGGACATGGATTTGGACATGGACGCGGATGTGGGAGAGACATGGATGAAATAATTAACAAATCTATCAGCAACAAGGTAACAATTTCAAAAGGCACAAAGCAAATGAAAGTAGCGTATCAACAAAAGAGCACAAAGAAAGTTGCTTCAGATGCAAAATGAAAGGACATTGAGCACATACATGTCATATGACAAAATATCTCTTGGATCTCTACCAAAAATCAATCAAGAAAAAGGAAAAAAATTGCAGATAAATTTTACTGATTATGATAGTCCAATTGATGTAACTCATTTGGATGTCTCTGATTTATTTGATTATCCAAATGGCAATATTGACCATTGGATTCGGGGTGGTGTAATGGAAGATATAGATTAGTTTACTTTCTATATTTTTGGTATTTTCCTTTGTCTTAGAAATTTAATTTGAAATATATTTTTATTTTTTGCAAAATTAGAAACTTTATTATATATCGTTAATTTCATAATGTTGAATAATGTTTACTTCTTTTGAATACAAATTCAAGTTTTTTTTAAAAATAATATATATTTTGTTATATTTATATATTTATGATGGATTGTCAAGATACCTCTTTGATTGATAGTGCAACTGTGTATACTATTTTTCAAAACAATTTTTTTTTTTACTTAACATTCGCTAAAAATAATGTTAATCGATACCAGGTATATCGAATATCATTGAAAGCTCTAGAACAGTTTTTATTATTTTGCTAAATAATGTAAAATTATATATTGAAGATGTACTTTATTCTAGCAAATCCAAAAAAAAATTGCTTAGTTTTAAAGATATTCGCTACAATTGATATTACATTGAGATAATGCATTGAATATTTTTCCATAACTTCTTTGCATTTGGCCAGAAGCAAATAAAAGAAAAACTTCATACACTTCCCATTTGGCACGAATTATATATTTATAAAAATGGTTGAATCAAATATTATTACGAATCAAAAGTTCGTTGACCCAAAAGTTTTATACTTTGACATGATTGAATTGGACATGTAGGAGCTGTAATGATGCTTCAAATAACAAAAAAAACTCACATGTACATCATTTAAAGAACCAACAGATTATTTTACCTAATGATTATCTATGTGTTGTCTGTTCACAAAGCAAATTAGTTATTAAACCTACGACTACAAATGCAACATTGAATCTCCAACTTTTTGAAAGAATTCATGAATATATATGTGGACTAATACACCTACCATGTGATTCATTTCGTTATTTTATGGTATTAATCGATTCTTCTACTAGATGGTCCCATGTCTGCCTACTTTCTAGTAGGAATGCAGTTTTTGCTAGACTATTTTCTCAAATAATACAATTACGAGCTCAATTGCTCGATTACTCGATCAAGATAATCCGTCTTGATAATGCTTGTGAATTTAGCTCACATGCATTCGATAATTATTGTATGTCAATTGTGATTGTTATTGGACATTCAATTGCATATGTCCATACACAAAATGGTATAGCAGAATCGTTTATCAAACGTTTACAACTATTGCTAGACTGTTATGAAAACAAAACTTCAAGCTTCTATTTGGGGTCATGTCATATTACATGTTGCATCATTAGTTCATATAAGACCAACAACCTATCATCAATATTCACCTTTTTAAGTTGCATTTGGTTAATATTTCTCAGTTATGGGTTTTTGGTTGTACTGTCCAAGTCCCTATCTCACCCCCACAATGTACTAAAATGGGTCTCCAACGAAGACTTGTGATTTATTTTGGTTTTGAATCACCATCTATTATTAAGTATCTTGAACCTTTGATAGGTGATTTATTTACTGTACATTTTGCAAATTGTCATTTTGAAGAAATGACTTTTCTAACTTTGAGAGGGATAAAACTGTATTTTATAAAATAAGGTAATTTGTTTTGGAATGAAACAACTATATATTACTTTGATCCCTGCAATAATCAATGTGAGCAAGAGGTTAAAAAATTGCAAGAGTTGTAAATCAATTACTTCATATGTTTGTTGACACAAGAAAAGTAACAATCATATATTCCAACAGATAACTTTCCAACGAATATTGAAGTCCATGTAGGACAATAGTAAATGAATCTACTATAGTAATTGAATCTGAAGTACGCCGAAGTGTGGTTGACCAATTGGTTCAAATGATTCCGTGCCACGAAAAAAGAAAAGTACAAAAGAAAAACCAATTAAAAACTTTGGAAGAATTAACATTAGAAAAGATTCATTAATCAAATATTGAAATATAGATCATGGAGAATCACAAGTGTCCGAAAATAATGAGATTTCAATAAATTATATATTATGTCATAAATTATGGGAACGAAAAAATGTTGTTATAAATAATATTTTCGCTTTTAAAGTGGTTTTTGATATTATACAAAATGAGAATCCTGAATCACAGCCTGTTAAAGATTGTCAATATACAAATGATTTGCCAAAATGAAAAGAAGTCATACTGGCAAAATTAAATTCCTTAAAAAAATGAAAAATGTTTGGGCTTGTTGTTCGAAAACATAAAAATGTAATCCATGTAGGATACAAGTGGATTTTTGTACTGAAGAGAAATGAAAATAATAAAATTACGCACCTATTTGGGGCAGATTTTATTCTCAAGATGTATAAAAAATTTGAACATTGGAATAGTGTTGGCTGACATCAAAGTACAATAATCATTGTACAAACATTGAAATGGCAGAATGTGTGGCCAATTATACCATTTACCCAAACCAAATGCATTCACTCGTCCTCACATGGAAGGGCAAAATTGGAACTACAGAAACATATATCATTGAAATCATTACAAAGTTAACGTAGCGGATGTACTTGATTTGAAATTAAAAAAAATGCATTTTTTTGTGTGAAAATGGTAAACAAATGGAGGATACAAGATAAAAAGCCCGATTCGTAACTCAAGATTTTTCACAAAGACCTAGAATTGATTATAAGAAAACATATTCTTCCATAATGGACACTATTACTTTCAGAGTCTTAATTAGTTTGACTATGTCACAAAAGCTCAACACATGCCTTATGAATGTAGTAACTGTTTATTTGTGTAGTTTACTTGATATATATATATATATATATACACACACACACACACACACACACACACTAGTGAGCGCAATCGTAGTATAGTTGACTACGTAATAGTGTTGACTGATTTTTGATTATTTTTTAAGATATCACTAATTAAATCTTATTTAGCAAAACTTCTTTAATAAAACTTGAAAGTTAAAACGAAAAATAAAACTCAATTGCTAAAAGTTGAAACCAATAAAACTTGATAGTTATCATAACCCCCAATCTGGAGATCATGAAACTTCAAACCAATAAAACTTGATTGCATGCTCAATTTCAAAGCCAAACAATGCGCATCTTAAGCCATCTCATGGGTTCAGGGCAAAGCCACCGACGGTGATTGATCTCACTGGTCACATCGCGGGGGTCGAGGGGCAACGCCCCCTCGTATGGTCCAAGAACAACGCCCCTAGCGGTGATCGACTTGACTGGTCAGGTCAAGGAGGCACGCACAGTGTCTCCATGCCTCATGGAGACACGGCCTGGTTTTTATTTTTCCATTTTGAGTCAAAATTCACAGAATAAATTTGGTTTTTATATTTAACGTTGCAGTTGCTTGAGTTATTTTTTATTGCTATCACGTCATCAATTATTTCAAGATCAGAAAGATTTCCACACTATTTTTTCTGCCTTGTGATTCTGGTTTCGGTAAAAGCTTTGGTTTTCCCATTTTCCTCAGTGCTAGGCAACTACTTAGCGAGGCAGCAGGCAACTCCAGTGTACTCCTCTATCCTTACAAAGAAATTGAGCGAGCTACAAACGTCTTTTCTGAGAAACAAAGGCTGGGAATGGGTGCCTATGGCACTGTTTATGCAGGAAAGTTCCCCAATCATGAGTGGGTTGCAATTAAGAAAATGAGATATCGAGATTCTTGTTTACGAATATATGCCAAATGGAACTCTATCCCAACATCTTCAAAGAGAAAGGGGATCAGTATTGTCATGGAATATACGTCTGACCATTGCTGCTGAAAAGGCTCATGCAATTGCTCATCTTCATTCAGCAATGAATACTCCAATATACCATAGAGATATTAAATCTAGTAATATACTTCTAGATTTCGATTTCAACGCAAAAGTGGCAGACTTTGGTCTTTCAAGATTTGGCGTAACAGATGATTCCCACGTTTCTACAGCACCACAAGGGACTCCTAGCTATGTTGATCCCCAATACCATCAAAACTTCTATCTTTCCAACAAAAGCGATACGTAGACACCGTGTCTCCGTGAGGCACGGAGATACGGCCTGGGTTTTTTTTTTCTTTTTTTTCATTTTGAGTAAAAATTCATAGAATTCATTCCCAACAACTCCTTGAAAATTCATCATTAATTTCATTATTCATTCATAGCAATTCACAAATCAAATATTAAAATCTGTAAAAATATACTAAAAGCTCAATTTGTAAATTTGGAATATCATATCCAATAGCTGGATCTCTGATGCCTTATTGTTTTTCTACTTTTTTTTGTTGCTATTTTTCAAGCGATTTCTCGACGGTTGAGAAGCCGAAAGATTTAGGAGTTTGAGAGTTTCATTGTTGAATTTTAAGAATGAAATGAAAACGGGCAAAAACGACGTCGTAATAGTTGACGATATGTAATTACGATACGTGTGTAGAAGAAAAACCCGCTCTTATAT